GTTCCTAGTTGATAGTCTGTAATAAAAAAGAGTCACCATTAGCTGACTCTTAATTATCAACTTCTAAAGGAACTTGAACAGAGAAAATGGGGCAAAATTCTGTCTTCCCATCTGAAAAGGAGATCATTAAGTCAACTTTGAGGTACAGAAATGGGACTTATCTTAAGATGGCTCCAGAAAAGGATCTTGACCTTTCTACCTGCCAGATCCAAATGTCTCAGCACCAGTAAGTCTTTGTAAATGGCAGTGGAAAAGTTAGGGGGGGGGACTGGTTTTGTCAGATGTTTGCATACCTGAGTAAACGAGGTTCTTCCCCTCCAGAACTTGTCCAAGCATCAGGCATTCTGCTTGCCATTCAAACATCTCCACTACTCCCAGACCATGGTATTTCTCCAGAACTGCTTTGGGAAGACCCCAGCTTGCAAGGAGCAACTTGTCCGCTTGGTCTTCAGGAACATTTACCTGCTGATATTGCCCTTTTGAAGAAGAAAAATAAAATTTAAAAAGTCAAGTATCACCTTTGCATCTGAGGTCAATTAGGTTATACACCCAAATGTCAAACTTCTCTGCAAACTCCTGTATTACAAGAAAAGACAATAAAATATCTGCCCTATATTTTTCAATATTTTGTGTGGATGGTTCACCGTTCTTCAATTCTTCTGACATCTTTTTTATTTCAATTTTTCCTCCTGTAAGATTTTCTACATTCAGTTAATCTCTTCACCAAACTGTTGCCCTGGTATTTGCTTTTGAGACAGAGCAGCCATTACCGATTACATAGTCAAAGAGAGCTTCATCACTGATAATGTAACAGCATTGTTACATTAATTTGCCATCTTATCCTCACCCACACCATTTCCCTTTTAAGAAGTTACTGCTACTGAGATTTCATTAGTTCTCACTGATTACAGAACTGCCCAGTGTTTTCTTTTACAGATGAATGAAAACTACAACCTAAAGCAAACAAGCAGCTCAAGCTACTATGTACAGTGTGTCACATTTCAGTTTATTAACACTGATTAATATCTTCACAACACTGCCAGTTCCTCTAGCTTAATTAAGTTCCTTGCTGATTATTTCTTGTCTTAGTAACACTAAACAACTTTGTGCTGACTACAGGCACTGCCTCCTCCCTCTTCATCTCTGTTTTTCCAAGTCATTAAGAAAACTCAAGCTTTTTATCCCATTCAGGTTTCTGATCCACAAGAATGCCTCCCCTATCACCCATAAATGTAAAAGCATTTTGTAAAAGACCTTGTCAAATTGAGATGAAAACCAAGTAATCATGTGTACTGCCTCTACTGTGCCCGTTCTTCTACTGGTACATTCAAAATATTCTAAAAGAAATTTCCCACTATTGTTGACAGCATAAGGGCAGGCTAGATTAATACTACCAGCCTGCATAAGCAGTCAGCATTTCTTCTCTCATCCCACTAAAAATTTCAACTGCTGCCTTGAGGTTAACCCCAACCTAGGCTGTCATTGCTGCATCATCAGTCTCCTCTACACAGCTTTGCTTCACTTTGTGTAATCAAAGTACCATAAAATACTAAACAAAAATTTACACACCACTGGGAGAGAACAGAAATATGTTACAAAGCAGGACAGACTTCCCAAGAGGAATTCAGAGGAGACCAGCATCATCTGTCCTAAACTGTGACTGTGGTGGTTTGACCTTAGCTGGGCACCAGGTTCTACCCAAAGCTACCCAAAGTCATTCCCCTCCTCAACAGGACAGGAGAGACAAAATACAATGAAAGGTTCATGAGGGAAGAAAAGGACAGGGAAAGACCACCCACCAATTACCATCACAGGCAAAACACTTGACTTGAGGAGAATTAATTTATTACTAATCAAATCAGAATAGGATAATGAGAAATAAAGCAAAAATCTTAAAAACACCTACTCCTCCCTTTTTTTCAGGCTCAGCTGTACTCCAGATTTTCTCTACTTCCTTCCCCCCAGCAGCACAAGGGGACAGGGAATGGGAGTTGCAGTCAGCTCATCACACATTGTCTCTGCCACTCCTTCCCCCTCACAGGGGAGCTCCTCACACTCCTCCCCAGCTCCAGTGTGGGTCCCTCTCACAGGAGAGTTTCCCATTAACTTCTCAAACGTCAGTCCTTCCTGCAGGCCACATTCTTCACAAACTGCTCCAGCTCATGTCCCCCATGGGGTCACAAGTCCTGCCAGCAAACCTCCTCCGGCATGGGCTCCTTTCTCCACAGGTCCTGCCAGAAGCCTGCTCCAATCTGGGCTTCCCACAGGACCACAGCCTCCTTCAGGCAGCCACTCACTCCAGCACAGGGTTCTCCATGAGCTGCAGGAGGATCTCTGCTCCACCATGGACCTCCATGGGCTACAGGTGGATGACAGCCTGCCTCACCATGGTATTCACCACAGGTGCACCACCAAATCTCTGCTGAGGACCTCCTGAAGGACCTCCTCCCACTCCATCTTCACTGACCTTGCTGTCTGCAGGCTGTTTCCATCACAGCTCACTCCTCCAGCTGCAGGTGCCATTACAAAGGCTTTTTTCCCCCCTCTTAAATACATTATCCCAGAGGGGCTACTGAAGGCCTTAGGTCAGTGGCAGGCCCCTGTTAGATCTGGCTGCATTGGCTCTGTCCAACATAGGGGAAACTTCTGGTGGCTTCTCACAGAAGCCAGCAGAAGCTTATCGTCGCCCCCTCCTTGCCATGCAAATTAATACAGTGATTAATATGGCAAAGTTAGGATTCAGAAACAAAAAAAACCCTATGTGATGGGACCTCAAGCTTTTTCCCTAGTGTTAAAACCAACAAATTTCATGCAAAAGATGGAATGAGTAAAGGATCAGGTGATTCAGCTGTTTGAAGATGTGTTTGGAAACTTGTGGCTTAAAGATCTATGTACAAAAGTATACCTGTGATACTAACCTTTTTTTAAATTTACTATAACAATGCTAAGAAACAGTCAAAATTAGGAAGATATAAATTGTTGGTTAAAAGCATCAGGTATTAGATTTCTCAGAAGGAAAACTGAGTGTGCGGCCAGTTAAACAAACACAAGAGTGCTGCTTACTGAATTGTTTTTGGGGAGCTGACTGTGGAAATGTGTACATTTCCTTGTTCCATTCCATTTGCAGAAATTGACAAAATTGTATCTTGCAGAGCATAATCACATCAGTGAGAAGGTATGACATGACTGGAGAAGAGACCGAGCCATGGAAATGCTTTAAAAAGTTACAGAAAAATCACAAAAGAGATGAAACTGAAAGATGCTTTGTAAATATCTTGATTTAAGATGTTGTATACAGTCTTGATGCTGTATGCATCTTGATTTCTCTCTTGATTCAAGAGCGCAATGAGCTGGTAAAATGTATGTATGGCATCTAGAAGCATCACTTTAAGCGTCTGCCTGGCAGCAGGAGCACTTGATATGACACCTGGCCACAAAATGTTTATAGAGACTTGTAGATTGCATACAGAGATATACTGTGTATACTTCTTCTGTATTCTATATGTATTGTTTGATCAATTTCTCAACGCAGGTAAACAAACCTTGTTTGGTACAGCAAGGAGAACGGACGATACCGACTGTAGTATTATGGCAGCACCTAGAGGCCAAGCCAAGAATAAGACCCACCGTTACACGACACACAGCATGCCCCCATCCCAGACCTGCGCACAGAACACACACTTCCTTATTTCCTTCCTCGGCTGCACAGCGAGGGGCAGGGAATCCTGCGATCACCACCCTGCTAACACAAGCAGGCGGCTCGGCTGCGGCCGCTGCCCTGCCGGGGAAAGGAAGGGGCGAAGCGCGGCCCGAGCTCCGCCGCCCCCGGGGCCGGGGCCCCGCGCCGGGAGAGGCTCGGGGGATCCCGGCCCCTTCCAGCAGCTCCCCTCGCTGCACGGCCGAGGGGAGGGGAAGGGGAACGGGGGAGAAGGGCTGCGCTCTGCACGCCGGTACCTGCCGAGCCGCTGCGGCGCAGGGAGAGGTCGAGGCCGGGCGGGGGGCTGAGCACAGCGCGGCGGGGAGCGGCAGCGCCGGGCGGCGCGGCCCGCCCCGCCGTGCGGGAGCTGCCGCCGCGGAGCCCCGCGGCCGAGGCGGCGGCGGCGCCGCTCGGGGAGACGACGGCGCAGCCGCCATCTTCCCGCCACGCCATTCAAACCCGGGCCCGCCCCGGCCGGCGGGCGGGGGCAGCGAACGGGCGGGAGCAGGGAACGGGCGGGGACAGAGAACCGAGCAGCCCGGCACGCCCGAGAAGGGCGGCCGGCAGAGCTGAGGTTTTCTGGTAAAAACGCCGGTCTCCGAGCGTGCGGCAACGCGCGCTGTACCGCTGAAAGGCTGAGGTCATTTAATGAAGGTCTGCTCCAACGCTTGCCTTGCAGGAGAGGGCCCATAGGACAAACAGCCTCGTTTGCTGTTTCTAATATCTCAAACACCAAAATAGCTTTCAGAGTCTAAAGGATCAGGACTGGTTTCACCTCTCCTCAGCAATGTGAATGTGAGACACAGTTCTACGAAAATTGTGCAGTATCCAAAAAATTCATGTCATTGTCCATCACCCACAGAAGTGTTAAGAAGCATTATATATAAAAAAAATAAGGTTTTTCTAAGTTGCTTTTCATTTCAGCTGAAGAGAGCATACTGATCTTTCCAAAATTAAGGACAGCAAAGGTGAACATTGAAGGGAGTATGAACACACACAGTAAATTCCTTATGGACACTTCTTTGTTTTGGGTCACACACCCCACTCAGAAAAACTCTTCATGTTCTGTATCTACCTCTCTTCAGATAAATGGATCACAGCTGAGGAGGCTGACTTCACATGAAGCAGGACCGGTGGTCATCATCTCAAACACATACACACAAAAATTTCTGGCCCTTGAAGAAGAGCATGTGCTCTCATTCCCATTATTAAATCTTAAAATTAAATGGAAGCAAAATTCTTTAAGAATACTCCTGTCATTTCAGACAATTATATCTGAGTAAATGTAAAGGATGGTCTAATGGAAGAGTCAACACATTTTAATAGTCTTTAAATCAAGCAGATCAAAAAGCTTCTTTCATTGTTCAAGTTTACATAACCAGATAAACAGTAGGCTAACAGTAGGCTCTTCTGTGTTTCAAAGCCCAAGCACCAGATAAATACAACACACACTTTTTCCCCAAAGCAGTTATTTTAATGAATTGACACTTGGAGAATGTATCCATGCTGCTACTCTGTTGACCAAAAGTTAGATACATTAAAGGGAGGAGAGGCACACAGAAATCCTCTGCTAAAAACTCCTCACTAACCGTTTCCTGTATTAGTACTGAAAAAATATTGAAGGAAATTTCTACTTAGTAACAATATATATTTCTATTGTGCCAAAAAAAGACCAGAACGAGCACTGCTGCTATTTAAAATGTTCATAGCATAAACATGTTTCACTTCAACATGTAGTTTTACAACTGCAGTATGAAACCTTATCACTTCCTCATCACTTCAGGTCCTCCTTACATTTTTGAAAAAGCTATTTAAAATATTAAAGGAGACATCTATCTTCATTCTACTCTTTTTTTTTTTTTTTTTAAGGGGGAAAACCAGGTTTTGCTATCTGAAATTTTTAATTATCTAAAAATAGTTTACAAAATTTGAGGACAGACCTACTTTACCAAAGTAGGAAAAAGAGCTAACTAGCAACCAGTCTAAGAATTTGGTTCCGTAAGTATGTGCACAGCTGGTTCATCAAGTCTCTGTTCTGTCCTTTAACCCAGTGCATTTCTACCACTACATCATTTCCTTCTTTCTTCACATTCATTAAACACTCAAACAGAAAATCCCCACTAGTTTCTTTAGGGCCTGGCTCTTTTTCTACTGTCAGATTGCTAGCTTCCTCTGAAGGGCAAGGCTCCTCCTTCACATCACCAGAACCTTTTCCAAGTGATGTTTCTCCCTGCTTTGCTTCCATCTCCTCTTTCTTCACAGGATCACTGTGCTCTTCTTTGGCAGCAGACTCCTCTGGTTGCTCATCACCTGCTGTTATCTGGACATCCTCATCAGGTGCCGTAAACCCCATTTCAGAGTCTTCAGCCTTGGGATTTTCACAGTCCGAGTTGTTGCTCACACTCTTCTGGCTGTTCTTTTCCTCCTCCATTGCTTGCAGAGTATCTTCAGAAGCTCGAGGAAGTTCTCGTAATTGCCTTATTCTTTCTCGTTTCTTTCTCCTCAAATGAATCCAGGAGTTTTCAATGGCAGTCACAAAGAGGCTTATTTCATCTTTTCCACATGGAACACGTTTATGTTGAACCTATTGCAGAAAACAGAATTTCATATGATCCTCTCACAGTTATGCTTTCAATTATGACATAGTTTTAACATCTAATACTTCATACTGTACCTTCAGATCAGTGAGAATCTTCTCTACCCAGGCTCTAACCACAGCAATAGCTTCTACAGCATCCCAGCCCATAGCTGCACCTTTGACAGATAACTCTTTGACTGTAGAAGCCAAAACCATGAAGGTAATTGGTTTTCGTGGTTTTTCTAATTTCCTTCTTTTAGAGGGAGGTGACTAGAAGGAGAAAGAAAATAATTACAAGGCTATGCAGCATTAGTGGGGTGACTTTTGCACTCAGAAGACGGTGATTCCATAAGACACAAGGATTAAGAGTGTAACATAAGGCACTAAGCAGTCACTCATATGGCCCGTGCTCCACTTCACCCCAGAGTTTTAGACTCAAACCAGCTAACAGGATCATGCACTTGATGCTAGCCTGATGGACAGAGGGAGTTTATCATCAGGTATTAAGGCAAAAAGCTTCATTGGTTCCATTAAACTGTGAGCTCTCCATGAGCTGAGAAAGTGTGGCTGCTCTTGGGAATAGAGGCCAACTGCCAATATCCATGTTTTGATCCAACTGCACTGAAGGTTTACTTGCATCTTCCTTAAGATTGGTTATCATCTATACCTATATCAAATATACAAACATCCAGATCGAAAAAAGCAACTGGCTCACATTTAAGGTGAACAAGCTCCACTTACATTCATGTAGGCAAGTCTGAGTTAGACGTGGTCATACCTATTTGGTAACAGAATCCACATGTTAAATTAAAACTGAGTTCTCAGAGGGAAGTTTAAATTCAAATCCAGCCCCAAACTTAGAATATTTTTATTGCTACAAAACTGCTACTTGAGGTATGTTATAAGGTATTTGATCCTTACTTTCACTGAAACCCACAGGAAGTTCTAGAATGGCTTCCTTTTTCCACCCTCAACAAGGGTCATTCATGAATCACATGTCACAACTGCTAACAGACTAGCAGCCATCTAAGAAATTCCACTGTCCATACAGCCCAGCACATCCAATATTCCAGTCTGAAGAAGAACAATTTGTATCACAGCAGTTATAGCTCATTAGCCCCTTCCTCAAGTAAGAGGCACAGAAAATCACAAGCAAACCAGAATTAAGCTACTTACAGGTACTTGCACATCATCATAGAAACTCCAGGCCAGTGCCCATCTCATGGTGCGTCCCTGGCAGAATTCAGTGTGAGTGACTTTAGGAACCTATGCAAAGAAGCAATACGTTATTTCAGATTAATAAACAACATTGTTTTACTGCACACGTTTTCAAACAAAGCATATTTTCTCATACACAAATGGAGATTCTTTTTGACATGGCTCAGAGGTGTCAGGTCCCTCTCTCATTTCTCTCCCTTTACTAAGACTGAGGTACAACAGTTCAAGGACAGAGAAGGAAGATCAGATATTTTGTATCTAGCTCATCATCTGCTTTTGGCAATTCATCTTTCTGGGAATTTTTTTGACCATGCATTCTCTTTCCTTCCACTGTATACACAGACAGATCTTGTAATTATTCTCTTGTGTGGGAATTAGTGAAGAGTATGCTTCCTCCAAAAAGCCATCCAAAAGTTCTTTGCACAGCCCTCTTTAATGAAAATAGTAGCACAAGGTTCCATTTTACTTAGTGCCTAATTGAACACAAACAAAACAACACTGACACTTAAATCATGTTATTATTTCTTTTATCAACCAAATTGCTAGAAAGCTAGATTTTTTGTTGTTGTGTTGTTTTTTTTACTACAGCCTTATTGCAGCTATTTTAAAGCAAAAACCCTGAATCTTCTAGAATGAAGACATACTCCAACATGTGCTAAAGACAAAACTTTGGAGATAATATTTGCTACTTATCTGTCAGTTTTGAATCCATAATAGTTAAACCTCAGTTGTTTCCCTAACAAGGAATTCCAGCTCCTTTTGGTAACAAAAACTCTGTGAAATACTTCAACAATAATTACCCACATACATTGAAGCATACTATAATCTGTATAGAACACAAGCAGGATATATATATAGGGACTTCTATGCATACTCACCCCCTGGATTCGAAGTTCTTCCTTCAGTGGTGCTAAACTGCATTTCTTCCCCAACATACAACTGTACCATCTGCAAAGCACACATTAAAAAAGTGTTTAACAAATAGAGGTCAATTGAGAATGGCAGCTATTAATAAGAACTACGTGTATTAGAAAGCTGAAAAAACAATACAAGATTAAAAAACAAAACAACAACAAAAGAAGTCACACTCAAACAGAGTGAGTAGAACATAGTACAACAAAATTCAGAACAGAAGGTCCAAAGACAGACTGGACAGGGATATCTTTTTGAGCCTTTAAGAAATACATTAGAAGTATTTTAGAAACAACACATGAACAATGAGCAGTCTTGTTTCAAATAGTGACTTCAGTTACGGGACAGATGTTACACCTTACAAGAATTTGTTTCAACTTCTCCCCTTTCTTTGGAGAATGAATCAGAACAAAAAGGAATAACCAACTATTGGCAAGTAATTGTGCTCAAAAGCAGACATAATGAGTTGTCACTTGTGCTTACTCATATCTTATCCAGGTTTCCAACACATAACAGGTATGTGGAAAAAATCAGGGAAAAAAGGGGAAAAAGTTATTTTCCCACTTCTAGTGAAGCTTACCATTCCACCCAGCTCTACATCTTCAGAATCTCCCAAACATTACTTTAGATAAAGCTATGTTCTTCATCTAAATTATTATTCAAGCTTTACAACCTCATCTTCCACATTTTTTTGACGACTGGATCCAAAAAAGCTTATTTATAAATATAACACATTGAAGTAAAAAGATTTCCCAGTTACCAAGGGACAGTTTTGTCCAACACTGGGGAAGTGAAAGTCCGATGACATAGTCAGAAAACTGAAGACATGCCATCTGTTTCAAAATAAGGTCAAAACAAGGTCTCACTATGGTTTTTATTGCAGCTTATGTTCATCCAAGACAGCATTCAGTACAACGGCGTCCTTTAGCAGGCAAAGCTGCAAGTTATCAAAATTCAGCCAGGAAACATAACTAAGCAATATCATAAAGCCTCTTCCATCCCAAAAATCCTCAAGAATGAACCCTGATCTGTCTCTTATCAGGTACTTGTGCTAATTTTGCTGCAAGCCATAAATGTCACTTGTACAGGCTTTTTTTGTCTTCTGCCTTTAAATACCTCCAGCAATAACTTCCAATTGCTTCTCAGGAACAATTGGATGTGGAAGTATTATCAAACAAACTGAGCAGATATCACTGGACCATAGGTACTAAAAATAACACTGTTGCACGACTTCTGCCAAAGATAAAGATAAAAGGTGTTTGTTTGGGTTTTTTTGACTGGAACGAAACACTTACCGTAACCTCTTTTTAAGCTGGAGACTATCATGAATAATTCTTTTGACAAATTCTAGTTCCCCTCCCTCAGCCATGATTTCTGTGATCCCTCCTGTATTTACAGAGCTGGGAGGTGGACGCCGTGGATTTCGAGAATTAACTCCCTGGATTAAAAAACAAAAACATTTGACATGAACATTTAATGAAATGTTATGCTGCTTTGTACACTGCTTCCGGCCTTAATCTTTAGGGGGCAGCAAGCACCACCATCTCTACTTATCCTACCCCCTTCAGAACCATGGATAACAAAGATCTACTCAAAATAAATATACCTGAGAGAATTCCACACAATCTCAGATCTAGTTAAGGTACTTCTCACATCAGGATTCTGCCAATATGAAATATGTGGTTCCAATACATATAAGACATGCTAAGTGCATCTATGCAATTACAATCTATAGTGCTTAAATTAAATTTTAAACGTTCTTTTCTACTGCCCTGCATTATACATTTCTGACTATATTCAGTGGGTATTGCACGACCCATATGACACTGTCTACATGACTAAGGAAATGAAATATACAGTTAAGCAAAATTCCAGAACTAATTCTTCTGTACTACAGAGGTGCCTGTTATGCAGCAAGCACCAGATTTCAGATTTACTAACTGTGTACTTTCCAAACTCTTTTTCTAAGACACTAAGAACTTGTGAAAGAATGCTAGAGCTCACTCTCTACTTTTGGAGGGGTAACAGTTAAGTTTTCAGAACTCCATATGGGGCTGAGGAGGGAGAAGACTTAAATGCTATTAATGATGATTTGGGATTTTTCACTCAACCTTGCCCAAGCCAAGAGGTTAAACTGTTGCTACCTTTTCACTGACTACTGAAGTAGGTATAACACACAGTTTGTTACCTTACCTTAGCCTCCAGCTGGTTGGCAAAAAAGGGAGGGTTGCACATGCAGAAATCATAAATGATCTCAGATTCTTCTTTCAGTGCATCCATTAGAAGAGTCTTCTGTGGTACCTTAACCACTGTTAGAAAAAGTGAATTTGGTCAGTAAGGAACTTCATATTTTATTTAACATGCTATATACATTATACATTGCATAACACCTGTACTTTCTAAACAATGCTTTCTACAAAAGAGATGTAACAAATATCACCATGCAAATAAAGATTTCAGGTCAAGGAGTGACATACAAACAGCCTGTATGCTTATACATAGCAGTAGAACCACATGAACCCGTTTAGAACAACAAGGACTACCTGAGTTATACCAAGGTCTCCAACACAACCACAAATGTGCTTTAAGCCCTTACAACTACAGGCACTAAAGCTTCACATTAAGCCTGTTCCTTTGCCAGCTGCTTTTCCAGTATATTGAAACACCACCAGACCACTAAAAACCAGTGGCAGCAGTGACAGAAAACTCTCATTGCTCCACACATCAAGTTCTGCATCTTCAAGACTGACATGGACAACAGATTAAGACAAGTTGTTCAAATGGATGCTTCCAAAAGTTTTTATTCAGAGCTCATAAATGGACCTGTGATTTTCACTACACTGAGTTCCTTCAGAAAATTTTCCAAGCTCATTCCCAGACCAAGTCTGGCATACTGCCTCTGCTACCACAGGCAGTGTCAGGACTTCATTCAAGAAGTGAGGATGAAGAACTCCCTGTACAAGATACACCTCTGTGGCAGTGTCATGCAATTATCCAAGGGGAGCATTCCAGGTCTCCTACAGGCAGAAATAGCCCAAACACTAAGAAATACTTCAGTAACAGACAAGGGATACAAAGATAAAAACACCCCGGGGTGAAGTTTAACTTTCAGATTTTTGTAAGGAAGAGTATTTCTCTACCCACACATCCCATGCTAGACAAGGCAGCTTTTTGGCTTAAGCATACACTGACTTCAGCAAATATTCTGCTCCAGTAAAAGTAATTGAGCATGTATTTGGAAGGAATACACATTCTGATACACCACTGACCATGGCAAAAATATGCCACAACATTCATACCTAAATACCTTACTACATTGTACCTTTTATAAGATCAGACAAGTTATTCTGTTCCACATTCTTCTTGGCGTAATTGAAGCACATGTCATCCACTTCTGTTGCAAGGAAATACCAGCCATTCAAAGTTGCTCCAAGTAATGGGTATATACAGGATGCCCCTGTCCCTGCAGAAGTGACAATCCATAAAAAAGGTAAAATAAGTACTTGTGTTCTATGCAGTGTGATTGTTAACTATGTACTTATTACACCAAAAATAACTAACTTCAAGAAAATGGTGATTATTGGTCATCTACTACTCAATTCTTTAGTGAACCTAATTTTTGTAATTTGAAAAATAGCATTGTCAATATGCACTTTTATTAAAAGAAAGAATTTAATAATCTGTAATAATTTTTCTAGTAAACTATCAGCTTTGGTTTAAGCTATTTTTCTTCTATATTACAATGGTTAATTTATATAAAGAAAGCCAAATACATTCTGGCTTTGCTAAAACAAAAATACTACCACAAATAAATGTCTCTTCTTCATTTTTCTATCATCTATCACAAATAATTTACTTTGATGCATACAACAACCACAAAGAAAAAATCTGTTCTACAAGACTGTCTTTCTCTAATGTCCAAAACTATCAAAGAAACCTAAGTGTCTATTAAGATATTCAAAAAGAGAGACAGACAGATAAAAACTTGGTAAAAGAAGAGAGATGTTAGCACAAAATACTCATGGCATACCTAGGTGATTAAATTATAAATGACAACCAAATTTAGGATTAAAGGGAAAGGATACAAGAAAAGGGAAAGCTATCCCACCACCACCAAACTAGAGTTTAGACATATATTTGGAATCTGTTACACTGACTTATTGAACCATCAATAACTTCATCTGTCAGTACACAACAGCAAGGGGTTACTTCTAGCACTTCTGTCAAGTCCCTTTTGGCTGACTTCCTGCTTTTCCAAAGCTGAAACATCAAAGCTCATGCAAACTCAAACTGAAGATTTTGCAGTATTGTAGAGGACTTGGAGGATCTGTCTTTTCTACCCAGCCACCCACGGTGATGAAGCTCATAGAAATAATTTTCAAAAATGAAAACTAATATCAAATGCACAGAAGCTGTCTAAGAAATTTCAAGTTACTAGAAGTTATTGTGAACACACAGGTGATGGTACAAACCTGGTACCCAGCACAATTCCAGCTAAAAAATACAAGTCAGTAAATTTCAGGAGAACAAAAAATTCCTTTACAAAAAGTCATGCTAGCAGATGCCAAGAAACATAAAATCTGGCACAGTAACAGAGATTACTGAACCTCAGTTTTGAGGAATTCAGTTACTTTAAAGTTTTCATGTCAAGCATTAAAACAAGTTACAAAGGAAATTGCTACTTCTCTCAATTTCATTTTAAGGTTTCTTCAGCACAAAACAGTCTTTGAAATCAAGCCTCTGAAACTGTAAAGGAAGAGTCTATTGACAAAAAAAAAGATGTGAACTAAATTCAAATGTACCATCACTAGTGCCTTTTAAATAATTCATACAGAATTACCAAAAATTTGGAATCCAAATGCCAATTTTATTATCTGCGTGTGGAAGCTCTTATGGAGCTTGCCTTTCTTTTATTTCCAGTGAAAACCAAATTATGGCCATCAGTGTACATCTCACAAATACACACCTCTGCTGTTGACATTTATCTGCTGCCTAAACTGAATATCATCCTCATGTTTCCCAATAATCCAGACTGAAAATGGACAGTATCATCCATCTGCTGATGCCTGGTCCAACTTAAAAGACATTTTGTTCTCAAAAATAAACAAGAAATCTTTGACCATCTACAACCAAAACACATTTACCTTGGTTTCTAATTTAGCCTCTTTTACAATTCAGCTCAGATATGTAACTGCATTGAAATAAATTAAAATAAAAATTGAAATATAAAAAGGACAGATCACTCACTTGTCAAATACACCTATAACAACAGGAAAAAATGTTATTAAGTGGAACATCAAAAAAAAAATTCTATGCAACTCACAAACTCTCTGGTGCAGACATTCAAAAGCAAAACTAATAAATTAGCAGCAAAACACAATTTGCTAGTTAGAACACTGAGAAGAAATACTTTTTAGATCCTTAGAATGACATTTTTGCCTGCATTTCTAGAAGCAGTTTTTGTATACCACACAGAGCTGCACTCAAGGCCCTGAAAAGCCACATAATTGTGTTCCACGACTGTTCCTGTGTTCCTGCAGAGAAATCCTGCCCGCCCAGGAGGCACACGAGACACCTGTGGAGCGCAGAGTGCCTCCCACCGCAGCGAGCACACACCAGCTCTTTGTTCCTTAAACCTGACGTTTTCCCCTGCCTGTGCAACGAACTGTATCTGCTACTGTCGCTGATGGTGGTAAATAAAGATTTAAACATTAGCTTCGCCGTGTACCTATGTCAATGCCTCGTCTCAGGGTTTGCTTCTCAGCATCCCGGTGGCCGATGAGATCCTCCACCCAGTGGATGTAGTTCAGCCTCAGAGGGACGGTGGGAATGAGCCTTTCCACGGGAATGTCGATCGTCAGCCCGAAATCCTCCTTCAGGAGCGTGCACGTCAGAGCCCTCACGGCCTCGGGATCCTTGAAGTTCAGGCTGAAAGGCACAAGCGGGGCTGTCGCGGGTGCCCGGGGCGGACACACAAGGGGCGCCCACCCGCCCGTCCCGCCCGGCCGTACCTCACCCTGCCCGCCAGGGTGGTCTGCACGTGCTGCTGGAACTCGGGGTACTTGCCAGCCAGATAGGCGAAGTCGGGGGGCTTGTCCTTGTAGCGGTTGCGGGCGTGCATGGACTTGCTGAGGGCCATGCCGGGATATGTGTGCCGGGATGTGTGTGCCGGGATGTGCGGGCTGTGCCGGGAGCGCGGCGCGGGATCACGGCCGCACCCCGCGCGGGCCCGCTCCCGGCGCGCACCGCGGCCCCGCGGGCCGTACCAAGGCGCGGCGGGACGCGGGGGGGGCGGCCCCGATCGGAGCCGCGCCCGCCGCCGCAGCGAGGGAGGTGCCACTGCGGAGGGGGAGAAGTGACTGCTGCGCTTCCATGGGATCCTGGAATGTCATGGGTTAGAGGGGACTTTAAGGATTATCTAGTCCCAAACCCGCTGCCAAGGGCAGGGACACCTCCCACTGGACCGGGCTGCTCAAAGCCCCGTCCAGCCTGGCCTTGAACGTGGCCAGGGTTCACCCACAACAGCCCTGGCAACCTGTGCCAGTGCCTCACCGCTCTCACTGTAAATAATTCCCGACATCCAGCCTAAATTCCCCTCTTTCGAATTACTTTTTGCCCTATCACAACAGTGACGACGAGTCCCTCTCCAGCTTGCCAGTGCCCCCTTCAGAGCCTGGAAGCTTGCTGGGAGGTGTCACAGAAGTTTGTCCAGGATGAGCAGACCCCATTCCCTCAGCCTGTCTGCGTACGGGAGGTGCTGCAGTCCTCTCATCAACATCGTGGCCTCCGCTGGACTTGCTCCAACTGTTCCATGTCCTCCTCATGCTGCAGGACCCCGTCCAGTTAAAATGTTCTATATACAGGGATCATCACTTCAGCGTTAGATACTCAATGAGTAACGAGGACAAATAAATGAAATTACATAGACAGTTGTGTTGTTCTGGTGGCCGCTCTGTCCATGCAGCAGCATGAGGAGCCTCCCCTCCCATCGTCACATATATTCCCCACCTAAGTCACCTTCGTTACCTTGAAGAATTTTTCAGCATTCTCAGAAACAGCTCACAGCCATGGATTTCTGCAAAATGCCTGCATGAAGCCACTGGTAGCCAAGCAGTGGCTTGGGGCCTGCTGCTTTTGGCTCATCTTGTGCCACAGGCTTTGCAACACATGGATTTCAAATGATGTATTGAACAGTTTGAGATGGGAAAAAAAAAACAAGGCTTAGACATCATGCCTGGAAAAGATTTCTGAGAATTTCCCCACTTCAAGCACTTTCAATATACAGCATGTACTTCTAATAATTATCATACTGTTGTACTTGTTGAACATAAATTATGAAACAAAATATGTATTACAGTGAGCTTTGTACTACCTCCGATTAAAAAAAAAAACAAACCAACAACAATATCATCCTCAATTAAAATAGGATGTAGGCATAGAAAAACAAAGTCTCAAACTGGGAATTAAAACTGACGTCAGTTCCTCGCTTTGTCATTGATGGTCAGGAACTTCCATGTTTCACTTAAGAAACTTTCAAGTAAAATAGGAGTAGTCCTTCCTTATTTAACACGGTGCTCCAGTTCCTCAGACAAAAACATGTAAGATTAACATTAAAGTATAATCTATTATTATTCTATTATTTAAAGATATTTTCCTGTTTAAAAAGCCAGATACAAATCCAAATGACTCATTGTATGTTGCTTAAAAATTCACTCTAAATGTGCTGGCATTCATATTTTTGAATATCTAAGACCTGCAAGTGGATTTCATTTAGGTCCTACTTCCTGCCTTCAGCTAGCTTCTTGTAATGTGAGGTCAGCTAAGTTTTGCATACCAAAATACATAAAACTTGGGTTAAAAAAAAAATACACAAGACCACCAAGCCATCCACTCTTGACACTTCTGTAAATTATTTCCCTTTCTCTGCCCCCAGCCACAGTTACAGAAAAGAAGCTGATATGAGCAAAACCACAACATAGGTAAAAATATTCACTTTAATTCAGAACATTTAGTGTATTTACAATATAAATTTCCTCTCTGGTCAAGGAATTAGAGACTGAAAAAACCCATTTACAAACGTGGCAACCTGCACCTGGTGCAGGCTAATTGAATTTTTCTACATCTGGTTCTCCCAGGGTAATTTTAGGGAGAAAGTGATGGGGAGAGCTTCGAGATGGTACCAAATGGCTCCCACAGCAATCACAGAATGCAGTCCAGGAAGTAGTGTGAAGTTACTCAGCATTTGCTAAAATATCTATACAGACACGTACACAGTCCCATTTGCAGTTAGATTCATCGAATCTTCCATATGTAGATAAGCAGGTAGACACAAGCCTACCAGCCTGTGTGCAAGCACAGATTTGCAGAGGTGCTCAGGCTACCTGTGCTCACACATAGGTACCACCTCACCCAGGCAGATGCACACACTCCTTGCCACCCTGCAGTTGGACAAACACACAGGCAGGTGTTTTGTTAATGCTAATTTACATGGTTTCTAGATACAGGGAAAAAAAAAAAAAAACTTGAGGAAAAAAGCCCCAACCCTTTCATCTGACTCACTGGCTTGGAATCCTTACTCCTCTGGAACCTGAGGGACATGGTGTGGAAAGGATGATGTCCTCCTGTTTCTTGCAGAGAGAACCAGTTCTGAATCTCCAGGAGTCTTTTGCTACAGTGATAGCTACTGGTTGCTACTGGTTGACACCGAGAGAGGGCAATCCTCTCCTGCTCCCAGAAACAGGCACATCCTCCCACCACTTCCTCTGAGTCAGATTTAGTAATCAAAAGGCTGCAATATGAGCCACTTCAACTGGTTGATCTCGCAGAAAAATAGATCTGCAAGAAGTGAGTACTTTCACATCTGAAGAATCAGCTTAATGAAAGTACCCTACAAGTTTACCCACCACACGATGTGTGGAGCACCTTTTTCAGCAACAACTTGTCCATAGAAGCTGATCTACGATCAAGTCACTCAGAGCTCCTATTTGCACCTTGGTCAGAGTTCACACACCACTTCCTTTATGAGGTGCTTCCCCTCGTAGGGAAAGGAGGTGTTGCAGAGGTCTACTGTGGCTTAAACGTTGAACTACATGGTGGTTAAGAAGCAAACCTCAGCCTTCCTCCAGCATAACCTGCTGCTGTCTCCACCAAAACCAGCTGACAAGTGTTACAAAGATAGGGAGATACAGGGAAAGAAAGAGAGCTATGATCCCCTCTTAAGATTCAAAGGCAGCTAAAGCAGAAATAGATTAAAGATGGTTGTGGAGGCTGCAAGGTTGAGGAGAGGTCTGGTTTAGCAAAGCTTCTTGAACAGCGTCACTGCAGCCACTGAGCTCCATCTGGTTGAGAACACGGCTGATGTGCTCCAGAGTGGCAGCATGGCCCGTCTGCAGTTTCCACAGGCGCAGCATTTCATACTGGGCGTCTCGCAGGCGCCGGTGCTCCAGCTCAATCCGCTCCAGGTCGTAGTCACTCAGGCCCAGGCGCCGCACAAACTCCTTCCACCGCGACGGCGGCACGTGATCCACCACAGTGTACAGAACAGCAGGGTCTGTGAACACAGAGGGGAAAGAAACCCTGAGAAGAAAGATTCTTCAGCCTCAAGGAGTAATCCAGGGCTGGAGGTTGCCTTGGAATCTTGCATTAGCCCCTCTTGTTCAAGTCTTCTCCAGTTCTCCAGAGTAATCAGACAGACTCGTGCGATGTCCAGCCTTGCTCTTATCCTTCAAAATTTAATGGGAATGTTTCCATATGCTCTTGTATAAGGTTATGAGCAAAGACAAGCACATTTGCTTAGGGCCTTTCTGCCATACATGCTTGAAAAAGAATGAATTATTGAAATTATTCTGGGCCAATATCCCAGAGGCATTAAGACTGACAGCATGTCAACACGTAAGACAATCCATTTTGCTGGTAGGGAAAAGGGACAACAGAAAGGCCTTGCACAGATATTTAGCATATAAAGACTTACAGGCTCTGGGCATGCTTCTGCCTTTCTACTGTGCCATGCATGGGTACCCATCCAGGTCATGTACACTGGGTAAGGTCGGTCCAGCATACTTCTAGATGCATCTGCGTAATTAGGTTCCTGCTTGACTGGGGAAGGAGAGAAGGATGGAGGAGGTTCACTTACTGTCTGGAAGCTGTGTCTTCCTGGTAGGTCTGACACAGTCTGGTAACTCATGTGAACTCTGAGGCGGAGGTGTAGGTGATAGGGCTGCATTTAATGGCAATTCTGTTTCCTTCTGGGACTCAGGAAGAAGGGTGGAAATTTTATTTCTTTTTTCCTCAACCTGAAAGACACATTACATAGTCCAGAATCACCCACAGCAGCACAATACATGTGTCTTCTGCAAGTAACCACTAGCTTTATATGCTAAAATTTATCCAAGATAGGTGGGGAATGAGTGTTGAAATTTTAATTCTTCCTACATGCCTTGTTTCATCACATTTCTTGCCAGCAGAACCCAAAGAGTTTAACTTTCTTTTGGCACCATAAAACAGTAGTCCAGAAAAAAGTATTTCCTTACAAAATCAAGTAAGGCTGGTACCCAAAATCACCACCATTCTAGAAGCTTCACATGCCACCTTTCCCATCAACCTCCTCTGTAAGGCTGTGGAAACCCCACTTCAGCTGCTGCCTGGGCTTTCTCATTTGCAGAATTACCTTGGACCTGAGAGAATACTGTGAAGCAGGACTGAGAGGCTTGTGGAGTCAAAATCTGAAGTGAAATTAATTAAATCCTCCAAGCTTGAGGTACACAGAGAGAAAAGGGGATTAAGGACCAACTATCTGAACAAAATGCATCCAGAAAACAAAAAAAAAGGAGGGGAAAAACAAAAAGCCAGGAGTTTTAAAAGCATCCTCTAGAAGAGAGGAAGTAAGGTATTACTGGCTCCACCTTCTACAGGAAAAGACTTCTGAGTTAAACAGCCCTATTACTCAGGTCACTTGAAAATACAAGGCCTGAAAACAGCCCTTGGGGATAAATATTACTCCAGATCCCAGGCTAACATATTTGAAAGTAGAAGGTAAGCTCTTATACCCATCATCTTGCTCACCTCTGATACTGGCTCCTTGGGTGACTGTGGCAAAGAGACTTAAAAGAAAGAAAGAAAAAAAAAAAAAAGAAAGCAGAAATTATTTTCACTTCCTCTTATCCCAGAGAAAACAGGAAAGCAGCTATTCACAATCCTGCCCTCAAAAATGTTTTATAGCAAAATACACATCCCAGAAATAA